CCTCACATTGCCCGCTGCAAAGCGATCGGCAAAGAACTTGTCGATCGCTAGCACCTGTTCACGAGGCAATGGCCACTGCTTCATGACACAGTACTTCGATCCCGGCTTGAGCTCGATCTCGTGTCGAGTGAGTTTGTCCTTAGGCAACTCGTATGGTACGGATTCAGGGAATACATCCTTGAATTCGATCAAATCCTTATACAAAGGATTTTCCTGAAGCGACTTCCAGGATTGAGACGTGTATCTCTCAATCCGAGTCTTCTCGTTGATGAAGCTTTCGTTCATCGATGAATTGCTGAGAACCCTCTCAGTCTCAGTAAACACCGTTGCCGATCGAATATCGGTAACGTACTCGTCCTCCGCGACGAGTACACAGATCTGCTTGACTTTGCCTTTACGCAGATTGCGCAAGAACCGTTTCGGTTCTAGCGTCGGCAGTTGAGCTATCTTCGAAGTTAACTTCACAGACACAACCAGATCAAGCGTGTAAGCGCCTACGCTTGATCCATCAATAACCAAGACATTCAGTGTCTCGATTACTTCCTGGGAAATAACTTCCACAGGGTCCAGGAGAGCTTTCTCCACAATGTGGTGACCATCTAAATTTTGTTCTTGTACATTCGTGCTAACGACCTCACCACGAGTGAGGCCATCGCACTCGCTCGTAGTGCACCCACGTAAATGTGGGCGTTACAAAACATTCTTCAAGTCGTCATCTGAGGAACAAGTAGCAGGTATCGTAACTGATCGATGCTGCCAGCTCACCCTTGGCTCATATCTCCTAATCCAAGGCAGTCCTAGGATGACATCAAACTTGTCATCCAGGTAGAGTACGATGAAATCATCATCGTACTGTTCGCCTTTTAACGTGTAGTGGATTCCGACTACAAGTTTCTTCACAGTGATCGATGCGCCTGTCGCTAGGCGCACCGTCATTCTCATTGAAGGAATCTCCCGCTACACGAAGTTGAAACTTCCTGACTCTAGCGACTGGCGACGAACAAAATTGTTCGACGCCCCACAGTCAACTAGGGCGCGAAGTGACAAGTCCTTTGTCATTTCCAATATCAAGGTGATGAGAGACACCTCATCACCAAGTGCAGAGACACACAGGGACTGCGTGTAGGGAGCAACCTTCGTCAATAGATTTGCGAATTCTCTTGATGTTGCTGGATCAGGAGGGCGCTCTGCACCTACTGACCCCGACCATTTTTTGATGGTTGGCCTCGCTGTTGCGGCTTTGCAACAGCATCGGAACCTCGCCCTCCAGTTCTCCTTACTGGTGGACGATTACTGCGCTCAGCACCGCGAGGTGCTGAGTGGGGGATAATGCATTCATATGCGTAGTGTCCCAGTTTATGACAGCGATGACATCCCACCGATCGCTTGTCATTCGCAGGGCGAGGTTTCTCTCCCTTGACAGTACAGAGGTCCATTGGCTCTGGACCTCCGACCGCTGATCGTCTCTGCGGACGAAAGGGGGTTAGCGTAGTGTGATCCTGTCTCACACTTAAGGCTTCTTGCTCAGCAGCGAAGGTTGCTTCGGAGAGCGTCTTTAGCTCTCCGCGGAACAGGTGGTCCCTGACGAGACCATCTTCAAGACCTTGAATGAATATTGTGATCAACACGAATTCACTCACAGGGTTCACTACCATGCAGCTTGCAAGGTAGCGTACATGCTGAGCGTAAGCGTGAACCTTACGCTTACCCTGTTTGATTACGAGGAGTTCAGATAGTGTCCTGAACTCTGCTCTGGGCGGCTCTAACGTCTCACTGAGCAGGGTCTTGAAGATCCTCAACGACCCAAACACGTTTGGGTCGTGCAACTTAAGGTTCAGGTTCCAATTCCTGGCGTCCCCTGCCAAGTACGACAGATCGAATGCAACTTGCATTCGCTCATCGTCGATGCGACGGGCCTCGATGGCATCGTCCAGCTCGACGAACCACCTCAAAAGGGAGTCTTCATCGACTTCCCGATACTTGGAGACCTCTAGCTTTATAGACCCCGGTCGACGCTCACGCGTCGGCTTTGCGGACTGAGACTGTCTCAATTCTTCGTTCCGCTGGTAATATTTTTGTTGCAACAAGGTCACCTGCGCTCGCGACTCATCAAGTTCTCGTTGCAAGAACTTGCTAATGACCGGATGCTGCTGGTCTCTATCCCTTGTGGATAGCATGGCTCAGATAGCTTCTTTGCCAACGGTCGAACTCATTCGCTCGATCGCACTCCATTCGATATCGCTCAAATGGGAGTAGCTTTCATGGGTTCCGTGAAATCTGTCGCCTTCTACTTCGTCCCGCATGTTTATGTTAGGCGATGCGAGTGTGGTACTTGGACAAGCTACAAAGTGCTACCAGGTGTAACGGGGCACCGACGACTACGTACTGGTCAACCGGTACGGAGCTTACTATCACTGACTGTAGTGATAGTCAGTGCCCAGCTAGGTGTAGAACTACACAGAGGAAGGTAGAACGACTAAGGTGAAAGACTCTAGTCGTAGAAAAAGTAAAACTGTTATTAATATAATTAAGTCCTATAACTCTTGTATCTCTGTTTGTCCTGACTTAATTATACTAATGTAACGAAATGTATGGTGACGTCTACTCACCACCCATTGCGCGCGTCTAGCAGCGATTGGTAGGTTGATATCATCACGATATCAACCAATGAGTAGACCCTTCGGTCATCTTCAACAATATCATCATGCTCTGTGATATTGTTGAAAGAATTTTCAACGTAATATTATTTTTTGTTATTTTCTTCGTAATGACAATAGTCATGTAACGGGCTACCCCGTTACATAAGGTTTATATCGACCTAACAGATACAGAGGTTCAAAATCTCTATTTTTTTCTGGAGTATGATTTAAAGTCCAACTGAACTGGCTGAGGCTAAGCCCCATCGTCTGAAATAGACACAAAGCGTGTGGACATAGTCACTACTATTTATGCTCGTACCTGCCCTTTTGAGCTTCAATTAGTGTTTTTATATAGCTCTCGAGACGCGCGCTCAATACGTCCGGGCCTAGCTACACACGTAAGTTTAACATACTCCGGGTCCACATGCGTGACCAGCTTAGCAAGATCAACCTTTTGAGGTCAGAAACGGAAGTGGACTGTTTCATTCTCAAAGGGAATCAGTCTCTTACACAATCGGGCGTAGATTAACTATGATTGCTACCAAGTGTACCGAAGCTGGTAGATTTCCTGGTCAAAGGAAGGCTTTCTGTTGGGCGAACAAGGTAGTCCTTTTTAAGAACTCGACTCTACGAGTCATCGAGCTTATAGCACTGTCCCTCGTTCAAGGGGCCTAGACGATCGACTGCACAGTGTGCTGGCGAGTCTATATCTAAACAAGTAGCGACTTTCTGATAACCTGAGACGCCTTAAGTAGGCACGTGTCTTACGAGGATAAAAAGGGGAACTAAACTTTATCTATTTTATATATTTTATCCAAAAGAACACCTCAGACCAAACGTACTTAATCTAGACCAAATGCTCTGATTCATACCTCTTACAAGATTTCGTATTTGGTGCCTGACACACGTCAGCCCCCAACAACTGATACGGTGTTCAAATGTCGTTTATAATGGGATCTCATCCCTGGTGTGAACTTTGCCTGTACTGTCGGTTACCACCCAAAGTGTAACCCCGTCACAGAATGACCAGGCCGAGATCGTTATCATCGCGATGATATCTTTTCCCTTGGGGACGATGTGGAAGAATTGTGCTGGACCACTGACCGTATCGGACGTGAGAAGGTATCACCGCTCCCTTTGACCGAGACATTGGTGGATTAGCCAGCACTCGCACAAATCGATCTCGCCCCCAGACCATCAAAATTTCATCCAGCACCTTTTGCCTCGAGGAGCTCCAACCACGGGCACATCATTACCGGATCATCTCAAACACACGCGTCCTGGGTGTAGTGCAGCGTTGGATGTAGACGGTAAACAATCGTGTCGACAGCAAGAGCACGACAAACCTGTTCCAATGACGGAAATAGACTCGACAGCAACCGCATCGGTGTTCCTACCGCCTCCTCTCAACGCACTGTTGGCACCTGTGGCGGGCAGCACTGGCATTAGTGGCGGCCGTCTTAGTTTGCATCGCATGCCACCCGGATACGAAGGAGGTGAAGCACTTACCACTTCACCTTTATCTGTCACTGCTACCTTCACAACTTTAGTGCAGTCCGACGCCTTCGTGAACGACACGGCGAGGGAGAAGTCTACGACAAAGGACTCGAGTGCTATCAACAGTGACGACCTCCCGCTTCTTCAGCCGAAGGGAGGACAGGCCAAGCGAGACGGTCTTGCTCTCGATCGAGCTACATCTGATGTCTCGGCAGCAAGTTCGGTGATTGATTCCAGCGTCTCGATGGACTACGAAAACATGAACAGCTTTCTAGACAGCGTAGCACTCGAACTCGACGACATCATGGAGTGAAGGGCTCTAGTGCTATTCGACTGATATCCCTTGTTCCTGTCTACGTGATCGATGTTGCACCTCTACTATGCACATTCTTGTCCGTCTGGAAAACTCCACCTAAAGACACAAAAGCATATCCACAATTGTCGTTGCATACGTGTATTCTCGCCCATTCCTCCTCCGTCGATGCCAGCAGTCAGTACCATGTACTGCATAACAACACTGGCTCATAGAATGCTTTCAGTCGTAGCTGAATCGATCTCCATCATCACTTGTCTGGTCTTCCAGCTCTTTGCGACATCGTAACCATGCAAACATCCTTGAGCCGGCGTTCGGCGCCATCCTGGCCACCGAAAAAGTATATACGTCCATCGCTGTGCATCGTAGCGCCATGTCCAACAAGTCCTCGTGGCAATGCATCAGTATGCCCATCGTCTGGGTTGCAGATAGCACCGGACTGCCACTTCCATGACTTCGTGTCTCAGATGAACGAATCGCTGAACACACTTGTTAATGCACTTGCATCGTTCCGCTGTGGATCCCAACCGCCAAAGATAAAAATGCAGCCGTCATCCAAAAGCGTCGTCGAGTGACCTGTGCGATCTCGTGGAGGCGTACCAACCATAGAGGGATTGAAACCACGTCCACACTGGATCACTTGACGTCTCTTCTACTTTCCTTTGCAACACGTGCACCTCATTAGAGCTTTTGGAAAAGCTATTGCCTCCAAAGTAAACGATCTTGTCGCCGACAGCGATAGCGATAGCACTATGATATGTGCAAGCGCTAAGAGCTTTTCCTTCAGCTTGCGCCGTCTTCCAGTTCCAGTCGTCTACACCAGTAACAACAACAACAACAACCGCAACAACAACCGCAACAAGAGCGATCGCAGCAGAAACGTCAGCACACTTGTCGCTTTTCGCACGTTGGCCGTCCTTTCTTGCTCACCAGTGTCCAGAATGTGTACCGTGCTCCGCCGATTCCGTCCTGTTCTACCACCAAACACCACGGCCTCGTTCCCAATAGCAGTGCAAGTATAACCGCTTCTTGCCGACGGAGGTGGCCCACGAATGGCCGGTGGAAACCACAGGAAGCACTCGGTGTCCAGTACCATAACGTCGGAAAGAACGGCAAGCTCACCATCACCGCTTTCCGTGCGCTTGCCCCCAAACACAAGCACTACATTCTTGAGAGGCAGGTGCACGGCTTCGTGCCACGTTCGCGGGATCGGTTCGCAGTTGATTGGAGTCGTCCAGCGGTGTGTTTGCATGCCAAACACGTGCAAGTCCCCTAGTGCTCACTCGTCGTCATCGATTCCACCGTAGGTCACCACGCGGTCGTTCGAGATCTTGGTAGCAGTATGGCCCCAGCGCTCAGTTGAGCCGTTTCCTATCGACTCGATCGTCTCCCACGCTGTGTCCTCAGCCACACGCAGTCACGACTAACTTGCAAGACTACACCAAGGACACTCGCATTGCGTTCTCCTTTACCTAACAACAAACAAACAACAAACAAACACACGGTCCATCAGACCTGCTGCTGCCTTTGACATTGACACGCCTCTGACCCGTTCCTCGACGCATTTGCTCGGCGAAGGTTCAGGTTGCACCTCGCGCTTATTGTGTCGCTCTGTGCTGGAAGCACGTGCTGCTTTGCGAGCGCTCGACTGCTTCAGATCACGTGACGCCGACAAGCGATCCACCACACTCCCCGTCAGCGACCTTTGTGTCTGCTTCTTCTCCGTCGCCACGCATCACTACCGGTCGTGCCCCCAGCTGCCTCCAATCCTACTTCTGGTCCATTCTTCAGCTCTCTCCAGTAGCACCAAAACATCGTCTGCCGGTGCGGTTTGCTCCTTCGACGGTCCATTCAATTGAGCCAACAGTACCGTCTGCTCTGCTTCATTGAGGAAACTCGGCCGCAGCCGTTTACCGTCCGCTTGAGACACGCGATCGTAATCCCTCGGACCACTCGCGTCGTTCGGTCGTTCCGTTTGCTGCTGAGAACAAGCGCCTGTCTGCTGCGGCGGCGGCTATGCGCGACTTGAAGCTGCGGTGCCTGTCACATGTCACACACATACACATGTACCCATGAGTGGACGAAAAAGACAGAAGCGGTCGAGTCGGTCCCGCGCGCGACCGGTACACACCCACCCACACACGATCCTCACAGACGGTACGTACGTTGGCGCAACACGACGTCCCCCGTGAAGTTGCAGCAGTGGATCGTGAGCGGCCCCGCCGTCACGTCGGACTCGATGGTAGCCACGTTCGAGGGGAGCTCGACGTCGACACCTTCGTACGACACCCGCAGCATCGTTGTCCCCCTTGTCCGGCGGTTGGGGTTGGATACTTCCTGGAGACAACGAGTCGCGCGTGGCGGGTGGAGTCGCGCCACTAAGTTGCCATGAGCTCGAACGACGAGCTCCGAGCCGCGGCCGACAGGTGGCGCTCGACTGCCGTCGCTGGTGTCGCCCCATGCGCTCTTTTTATGTCGCATTCGCCACGTGACGCTCGCCGTCGAGAGCGGCACGTACGTGGCTCTGGGCCTTCGCTTGCGTGTCCGTCGCTGGCCTCTGAGAGCTCGTCGTTGTGTGCGCCGTGGAGTGGCTATCCAGGACAGTGCGGCTGCTTTGACGGTGGTCGAGGACGCTGCAACGTCTCACCGTACCGCCTCGTGTTTGTGTCGGACCGAGCACGGGCGACCAGCGCGTACCAGCGCTTTTCTTTGCCGCTGTACGGTATCCGCGACTGGCGCTTCGACTCGATCTTCTTTGGTACAGCCGATGTACGACATATTCCCGCAGTGTCGAGCGGGAAGCCGACTCACGCATGCAGCATGAAGGAATGGCAATAGATGCAAAGAGCTGGCAGGGTCACGTGAATTGCTTGCCTGCCGGGTGGAGGACTTGTTGGAGTCTGGACATGTACCACTACGTTTTTGGAAAGGAGTTGCTCTTGTTGGTGTCGTCGTGATCAAGGGATGGCGAGTGCCGACCAGCAAAGCTATTGGCCGCATGTGTTGTGTCTGCTTTGCTGTGGGGTGATAGAGTGCTGATTTTGAAGAGTTTTGCATACACGTGGTGCCGTTGCTAGAAGTCTCGAGAGACTTGCATCGCCAGTTTTGTGGCCTTACGACTCGATCTGTGCTGATGGCACCAGGGAAGTCAGACGGACAAGAAGAATGCCCGCCACAAGTTGCTACTGTACGACTCGCGGCAACTACCACGAGCCGTCGTTTCGATCGATCGCCACGTCGACGTACTCGATGGCGGCGGAGTCTGTTGAGACTTGTATATCCATCCGCAAGTACGAGTATCGAGCAGTGCATGTTCCACGTGTTTCACTTTGGCACGGCGGCTACGGGTGTTGTCTGGCTATACTACTTCACGACGGTGTACGCGCAGCAGTACCTTGGGACCACGCGCGGTCGACGCTATCGTGTAACACACACGTTGCCAGCTAGTGAGACGGACGGGTGTTTCAGCTCGACGGTCAACGTTGACGCAGACGCGGGCGATGGATACTGTATCGGGAACGTGCCGTTTACGTCGTGGGTCATGTACGCCATGATGATTTTCAGCGAGTTTCTCAGTTTCGTTGTGGGACTGCTGTTCAATTTCAGTATGTGGCGTTCGATTTGTCGTGGTGCGCGGTACATGGACGACTTCGAGCTGCCCACTCCCAGGGAACAGTGGCCGATGGTCGACATCTTGTTGTGTCACTACGTGGAACCGGTCACGGGTTCGATGCAGACACTGAAGAACTATCTTTCGCCGCAGTATGCGCCCGAGCTCCTCGACATGTCTGTGCTGGATGTTGGTTACTATAAGTCTGTGTGGGTTGCGATCGACCACTTGAAGGTGACGGTGATCGCCAATGTGGTTCGATTTGTGGTGATTTGCGTGGTGACCCTGCGCGGCTCATGCACGAGCGTGTAGTGGGCCTGAGCAAGACGACGAAAGCTTGAAGACGTGGCTTCGCCAGCACAGCTCTGTCCGTGAACTCCGCAAAGAGGGTGGCAAGGGTGCGCAGCGTCGTGATTGTTCTGTCGGCTCGCTTTCGGACTACTTCGACTTCCGTGAGCGCGGTATTCTGAGTGTGACTTTCATTGGACGAATGATGCCCGATACGCCCCACTCAAGGCTCGAAAACATAACCAATTGCTTGTTCAACGAAGGTGCTGACGGCACGTATGTGCTGATTCTGGATAACGACATGAAGCCGTATCCGAAGCTTTTTCTTGCGGTGCTTTCGTTCTTCTTCTCGGAAGGCGAGGCCGTCGACGGTGGAGGTCTTCAGTGCAGCGACGATATTTCGTGGACCCACGTGTTGTACGGGCAGGCTTCTGCAGACTCCTCAGTAATTTGAGGACCAGCTCAGTTCACGATCATGTGTGACCGGTGTGGGCACAAGAACGCCATTCTCGTTGACGCTGTGCAGCGTGGCCGTGATGGTTTCGACTCGGCAGCTTTTGCCGGCTCGAATGCTGTGTTCTGTCGCCGAGCCTTCGACTCGATTGGTGGTATTCAGTACGGTACTTAGACTGCAAATGCGTTTACGGGTAACGTGCTCTACACTTCTGGTTGGGACTCGGTGTACTTCCGAAAGGATTTCGAGAGCGATGCCAAGGGCCGTATTCGATTGTGCGGAGGTGCTGTTCCTGAAACAGTGGCGGCTGCTGTGGACTAGAAGAAGCGTTGGGTGAATGGTGGTGCGCAGATTCTGCTGATGCAAAATGGACGCGAAGTCGACCTGTACTGGCGTCTGCCGCGCGTGCCTGCCCCGGACCCGAAACCGTCCCTTGTGTTCCCGCGCAAGATGTTTTCTACGACTCGGTGCTGCACCCGTTTTTGGTTCGATTACTGCCCTGCGTTACGTGGCGATTGCCATCTACTGCTTGTGCACGTTTGACGCGCCGATCTACGCTCGTGGAACGAAGATCCTGTACACTTTCTTGCTCGTGACGTTCTGCCGTTGGGTGCTGAACCTGCCGGTCAACCGGTCAACCGCGCAGTCGTCAACATCAACGTGTGGCGTATGCAGCAGGCATGGCTTTCGTTGTCGTTCATTACGATGATGACAATTTTGAGGCCCTCCAGGCGCGCGTGGCGGGGAAGGACAAGTCAAGGGCAAACACGGGTGCTGGTCAGAAGACGTCGTGGATAGATATCACGGACGTGCTTTTATCCTTCACGCTGCTGTTCAGTCAGCTAGTGGCACTCATTCGTTTCGTTGAGTACGCGATCGCGGCGAATCCGTGGAACTACGTGTCTGCCATGTTCTGTGGCATTTTCGTCATGAGCCAGTTGTACCCCATGGTCAAGAAGAGTGTTCCCGAGTCCAGCAGCTGGGACCATACTGCTGCCACCTTTACGGCGAACGCGTTTGGCTCGTTGCTCGTGGTCTACAGTGTGGTCTTCGTGCAGCTATGGTAAGTCTACTACGCGGGCAATCTCCAGGTGGCCCAAGGCATCGTCGCAGGCACGAATGACCCGGCGGCGGCGAAGACAAACTGGACGCACCGGATTGTGTCGCGAAGACGCGGATGGTGTTTGGTCGACGAGGAGCAGAAGGAGACACAGGATGCGATGCATGCCGAGCGCAGGTGACGAGAAGCGGTGGTGTGGTCTATCTGGCGAGCCGGAGACGCGCTCGCAAGTGCGCGCTGTCGTCGACGCTTTCCCTCCAGTACTTGAGGTGTCATTACAGTTTGCTGTCAATGCCGAGTTGTCGATCCTTGCGATGTGGGCACTGCTGTTCATCCTCTCGTGCACTTGTGTCTTGTCCGCACGTGGTAATGGCGTCAAATGGTATGTGTACTGGAGCATACGCGACGTTGGCCACCTCTGCTCGCCCGTCTTTGGTCTGACGGACGTGCAGAGAATCGTTACGTGTTGTGGTCGCACTTGTACTGAGGATGTAGGAAGTGAAAGTAATATATGTTGAGAGTAAATTACAGTCGGTTGTTAACCATACCTTTTGCACTTGATCAAGTCAAGTTACACCTGGTACACGTTTAGCCTGCCCATCAACATGTGCTGCTGGTCTTAAACAATGTCGTCCGGATATCGCTGTCCCACTCATGATCTCCTCCTGATAGTCCGACATGACGACCCTCTTCTCTCGTACCCATACGTCCACCAGTCACATCTTCGTCCTACCTGTCAGCTTATTAGCCAATCAGGTGAGATCGGGGCGTACCTGTAACAGGTCTTGCAGTTGAACACTGAAACTTCGATGACCTGTCAGAAAGCATATCTTCCAACACGTGCCTTGCTATGACGCTTTGCAAGGGGCACGAATGCCGCAGCGTAGCGCCTATTTGCTTGTTTGTTCGAGCATGGACTACTACACTGTACGGCAATCGACGAGCACGGAGGAACTTCTTTCGCTCAAGAGTAGACTAACGTGAACAAGCCGACTGCAATCGTAATAATACACTTCGTTTTGTTACTCACTTCAATAAGATCTACGTTTTCGTTTGTCTTTCATGGGGCTATCGACACCTATACGCTCTAGAACGTAGGAGTCAAGCACACCAACAGCACGCGTGGCAAGCAATCGCAATGATGACGAAGAGTAATGAGTCTTCATCAGTCACTGCGAATGCATGCCACGCTCAACTTCTTCCAAAAACACGCCACGTTCCACGGCTTCAACGGGGGTAATGAGCCCCGAAGCAAAGCGGATCGCAACGCATTGTCGAACAAAGTCTGCTGCCTGCCTTGACTGCACCACGTTCCGGAGCCTTCGGTGAGCGATGAGCTCCGGGAGACGCAACAGAGAGCAATGGGTCTCTGGAGCGCCAATCCCGGAAGCTCCGTTGCCCTCTTCTGGCAACGTGTGTGTGGCTTAACACCCGTTGCCCAGCGCGATGCGTCTTCCTCCGGTCTTCACGCGCGTCTGTTTTTTTGCTGACGGAATCCTTGAAGCACCTGTGCCGGCAGTCGCAGCAATGATCGCACGGGCAGCAGCAGCGGATTCCACACGCGCACGAGTGGATACTGTGCTCGCAGTCACACAAACACGCGCTCGAGCAGTAGTCGCTGGACGAACACGCGCACGGGAACCAGCAGTAGGCCCAGCGCCCACTCTCGCAGCGACGTCCTTGCCGCTTGCAAGCACGCGAGCACATTCATCTTGGCCGGTTCTGGATTTCTCGCGAGGCGTCGTGGTTGTCGTGGTTGTCGTGGTTGCCGCTGCGACTGCCTTCACATGTGTCTTCTGCTGCATACGTGCCTTGTTCTCGCCCGTCGCTTCCGCACTGCTGTCTTGGAAGTCCTTCTGCTGCAGTACCAACTGCAACTCGGACTCGCGCTGGACCTTGAGCTGGCCTTGCGTGGCCTTCAGCAGCTGCTTCTCCAGTCTTGCACTTGTGGCCTCAGCCTTTTCGGCGCGTTTCCGGAGCGCCAGCACTTCACTCTCCATCCTGTGCCGCGACTCGATACCTTCGACTCGCTCGTTTTCTACCACCCTTGCCATGTCCGCTCGCAGCGCACTGAGGCGCGTCAGCGAAATGACTTGTTCCTGTAGCGCGTCGTTCGCGCGTTGGAGCTCGCTGCACGAATGCAAGATTTCTTTGCATGTGCTTTGGATGAACGTTTCCGTGGTGTTCATAGCGACTGAGGAGCAGAATGGAAAATGACAAAGAAGCACGGGGGGCGGCGGCGGAGTGTCATGGAAAACAATTCATTCATTAACGTTAAGCGAAGTGGATATGGAAAATGGACTACGTCGACTGTAAGAGAAGTGGCCTGAGACGCGGCGGTGAGCCAAGTTGAAAATGGAGTAAAATGGCGCAAAAAACGGGCGCGCGGGTGGCGGCAATTGGGACAAGGCATTCATTTTATTTAAATGAGACGACAAAGTCGACGAGACCAAAAGATGTGATGGGTTGACCCGTGTGAGTAGGTTTTATTCGTGTTGAAGGTAAGAGAGTGGCGATGTATAGTGATGAGAGGTAGTTCTAGACGGCCAAACAGAAAAATTCATGCTGCCAGCTATCGTTTTGCTGTATATTTCGCAGTGTCGAAAGGCAATTAAGCATGTTTCGCTACTTGACAAAGCACAAGCTTGACATGATACTATGTCTAGCGTGTTCAACTTCGCGCTAACGCTCTCTCTGGGGTTCAGCACCAAGGAGGCGTCGTCACAATGCTACTATCGCTATCCTCAAAGTTGACGCTGACATAACCGTATATTTTCTTGATGTCTTGTCGTTCTTATCTTCGTCGCGCGGACTACCAGCTTCCTCTGATTCCCTGGCCAATAATGCCCCATCGCGCTCGTCAGGTCACACGCACTCGTCCCACATCACCCGATGCTCCTGGTGACGTGCCAGCGAACCACCGCCACACAGTGCCATAACCTAGGAGCCTTCGAACCATCCACAAGCGTACAATGTTAGTCAGTGTGCTCGATTCCTATCGCAAATGTTGCCATCATCATCCATACATGCTGTGGAAAAAGACACGACAGTCCGAGCTAGCAAAACAAACTGCAGCGTCGTCGCAAGATCACATGCCATGCTACACCAGCCCGCGAAGGATAGGCAAATTCGACAAGCGATACGAGAGTGAGTGGCCGGGTTTCCAATGTAGCCTAAAAATTGCTACGGGACCGCTGCACAGGAGTACGCAACCGAGCACGGATGGGGTCATTTTCGGCTAGAGATGTCATTCAACAACAAAACACTCAGCAACGTTCAGTCGATCTCCATCCCTTTCGGAATGTTATGTCTGACCCTCACATACATATGCGATGTTATAAGACAACCACCCTCGCAATGCCTGCGACGCAACATTCTGGCTGTATCTTGCAGCACCCTCTTCAGATGCAGCACGGTCTCCATTGCATGTCAAGATGCCACTACAAAGCGTTATGGGCAGCAAGTTGTGGATTTTGAGCCACATGCAGACTGAATGCGCAAACGGAAGTCCATAGGCTAGGGGCACTTTGATCTACATTGTCAACACTGCTTCGTTGTCGAAAGCCAATAGCAAGACATATCTAACGCTCCCATCCCGTACATGCAGAAACTCAGTCTGCATCTATGATGCGCAACGCGAGCAATTCAATCACTGCGTCGTTCAGTCGTCAGTTTCGTCGCTATCAGCAAGCCCAGTACCATCACAATGCGATCGATGCTGAGATGTCATGATGCCACTTCAGCGAGCAAAGCAAAATGGAACCGAAAAAGCAGCGTGTAGCTTCCATGCACACCCTGGTATCGCTCGTGCTGCCTCTGGAACAGTATCATCCTGGTTCACGAAGTCCTCGACATGCTTACCTATCAGTTGCCAAACGTCCGACCCCGTAATAGTTGACTTTTGTTAAGCCTCATCAGGAGTAACGACGTTTATTGTGCACGCTTGACCGTTGTAGCAAACGACTCGACTATGTTCATTTCTCGAAAAGATGTGTGCAAGTTGACGCGTTCGCATGCGCTGACAATCAAACGGTCTTCTGAACCTGCATAGCCAGCTTGTAGCCAATTTACACTCCCTTTGTCAATTGCGCCGATGGTACAATATCCACGCAAATCTTGTTCTCATGTCTTGCTATTACTCCATACGTATCCGCACGGTCCGGTATCGCTGAAAATGCTTGTCCAAGGTCAGTGCTGACCGAAGCACGACCAATGACTCTGCGTCCTTTACGAGATATGCCATATTTCGGACATCCGTACAGTACCTACGACGTGAACAAGACCGGGTTGCATATACTGCATACATAATGATGCTGGTATTCCAATTCTTTGCTCAACGTGTCAGCCTTGCCGAGTACTAGCTCCAGGAGTGCCGAACGTTAAGCGCTTTAAAACTGTGCTTTCACGCATGATCGGCTTGAGAGTGCCATTTCATCATTCGAACCCTTCAAAGTTTAATGCTTAACATCGATTAAACAAAACTATTCTCAAGCCTCGTACACTCCAGCGAGACAAACCCGAACTATCTCCATTGATCAGTTGACACATGCTGTAGAAACATCGGACTAAAGCATTGTCGTCATGCAGCGATCGTATCGCAGTAGTAATCATTTCATAGGTCTGACTGCATCGTTGTTGCTTTCAACCTCACGCGGTGGCAATATTTAAAGGTGCACACACGCGTTGTACAACGATCACATGTTCAGTCGTGGCGGATCGATACGCACGACCATCATCATGCCGGTCGCGATGTCAGCACCAGTAGCTGCGCGCATATTCTGCACCGATAAGCTGCTTTTGCTGTGATGGTGCCCCATCGATCAACTTCAACGGCTTAAGGTTGCATCAAAAGTGTTCGACGCGTATCAATACAACTCAACATGGTCTCCCACATTCGCACTCGTGCCTCCACATCCGCAGAAGTCGACGCGACATCTCCAGCCTTGCCGAACGGTCTTTCGATCTCGCCTTCATCCACATTCTCCTTATCACAAGCGATACATCGCA